GAAAGAAGGGGGCCCCAGACGGAGTAAATCTAGGGGGCCCAGAGACTACAAACCTCACTAAAGGGAAAAAACTTGGGGTGATATAACACCACACATCCCTGAAGCGCACATAAACCAATAACGCTGCGCAATGGGGGGGGGCCTAGCAAACCTAGAACACATTCCGACATTTTTAATAAGGAATCGCAGGACCCGTACCCCGTATACTTAGGCCCAATTGAGATCGGCACCTTTTTGGAAACCCACACCTCCAAGCACGTAAAGAAACAAAAATAAAAGGGTTTTGCAACAAACTATCCCCAAGCAAAGGGGTATGCCTACGGGAGGGGTTTAAAGGGAATCAACCTACGACACTGGGGACGGAAGATGGGGGGGAAACAGATAACAACATAAAAAATTTCTAAAGGGGAAATTTGAAAATGGACAAGACAGGATTTTCCCAGAAAAGGGGACACAGTAAAAAAGGCACATTGGGAAGCTAAGACACAATGAACACAGGGATGTTGGGGAAGTATTTCTTAGCCCGAGTATCAAAAAAGGGGAATATTTTGGGGGAAGCGATGTAGTGGGGCAGGACCATACATAGCTTTAAGCAGGGTTGATAAAGCTCAGGGCTCAGGGAGAGTGACCTAGTACGATCAGTGAAGAGGCGGGCCGGACTCGGACTCGCCCCCGAAACCCCTCAACTAGGTGAGTAAACAGGGGGTACACCCACACACACACACCCACACACCATAAAAACCCAAACCACACACACCCACACACCCCCAACACACACCAACCACACACACACCAGAAAAACAACACACACACACCCCAAAACCCCAAAAACACACCCCACACACACACACACACACACACACGAACACACACACACACGCACACGCAAAATTTAAAACGGCCTATTTCAAAATCACATGGCCTGGGACAAAATGGAAACAACCAGTAGCGACCAGTAAAGGGAGGGCCAGGAGCTATGAATCGACCCCTGCACCACAATTGTGTGAGTAAAAACATTCCATAAAAAATTTAGGGGAAAAAATGAGGCCCGGGCAGGTAAAACCCAGGAAGTGGACTGAAATGATCAATAATACCTACAGGGGGGCAACACAGTCAGGGAAAGTACGAGGTGTCAGGGGGGCACCTGTGACAGGGGGGCCCCCACGGGGGTCGTCATGGGACCAGTGCTGTTTCTGGTAATGTGAATACAGGAAAGGAATAGACTCTGAAGTGTTTTGTTTGTAATGATGTGAAGTTAATGAGGAGAATTAAATCGGGTGAGGATCAGGGGACTAGAAAAGGATCTGGGTAACCAAGCCTGGCCACAACTGGGTCCTGGAGTTTTAACCCCCCCCCAAATGCAAAATCATGAAGACGGGGAAAGGCAAAGAAAACCGCAGAGAGAGTACAGGCTAGGGGGCCAAAAAACGCAAACCTCCCAAGGAAAAAAAACTAGGCCACATCAACCAGGGAAATGCTGCACATGTGGGGGCCGGAAAAACCGAGAATAGCGTTCCGGACCCCAGTAAGGAACGTCAAGACTCTTACACCATTAAAATCGGCCCCAAATGGAGTAAGAACACCCGTTTGGAACCCACACCTGGGCAAACAACACAAAAATTAAGAAAGTTCACAATTTTCAGTAAGCTAGGCCGGGTAAAGGGAATGTCTACGAGGAGAAGTTAAAGGAAATCGCCGACCAATGGAGGACAGGAAGGATAGAGCAGACATGTTAAAATACAAAAAAACTGAGAGGATTTTTACACAGCAAAAAGGCGTCACAACTAGAATTGAAGACTCAATATCACAGGAGTTTGGAATATTTTTTCAGTCTTAGAAGTTGTCGGAATTAATAGTCTGGGGAGGTGAGTTGGAGCAGGGTCCCCCATAGTTTTTAAGAAGAGGTAAGATAAATTATAAACAGGGGGAAATGGGCCTATATGACCAGTGAAGAGGGGGGGCCAGGGAAACCCTGAAACGACCCCTTTAAACCCTATATAAGGAGTACACAAGCACACTTTATAATGGCATCCTCAGCCTTTGCCAGAGTACCTCAAAAATCACAACGGGACCTTGAATTGTTGTCAAAAATATTATTTTAAATACTGGGGTACCTGGAGGTTACCTGGATACCCTAATACTGGGTACCTGAGGGACCTGGAGTAGCTTTTAAATACTACCAAAAACCCGGAGGTTTCCTGGGGGTTGTCCCAACACTGGGAACCTGCAGGGTTTCCTGGGGGTAATCGCGAATTACAGGGATACCTGGAGATTACCTGGGAGTAGTCCCTGACTACTGGGATACCTGGAGGTTACCTGGGAGTAGTTTTTAACCACTGGGATACCTGGAAGTTACCTGGGAGTAGTCCCTAACTACTGGGATACCTGGAGGTTACCAGGGAGTAGTCCCTAACTACTGGGATACTTGGAGGTTACCAGAGAGTAGTCTCTAACTACTGGGATACCTGGAGGTTACCAGGGAGTAGCCCCTAACTACTGGGATACCTAGAGATTACCAGGGAGTAGTCCCTAACTACTGGGACACCTGGAGGTTATCAGGGAGTAGTCCCTAACTACTGGGATACCTGGAGGTTACCTGGGAGTAATCCCGAATTACTGGGATACCTGTAAGTTACATGGGAATAATCTCTAACTACTGGGATACCTGGAGGTTGGCTGTGAGTAGTCCCTAGCTACTGGGATACCTGGAGGTTACCTGGGAGTAGTCCCTAACTACTGGGACTTAGAGGTTATCTGGGAGTAGTCCCTAACTACTGGGGTACCTGGAGGTTACCTGGGAGTAGCCCCTAACTACTGGAATACCTGGAGGTTACCTGGGAGTAGTCCCTAACTACTGGGATACCTGGAGATTACCTGGGAGTAGTCCCTAAATACTGGGATACCTGGAGGTTACCTAAGAATAGTCCCTAAATACTGGGATACCTGGATGTTACCTGGGAGTAGTCCCTAACTACTGGGATACCTGGAGGTTACCTGGGAGTAATCGCGAATTATAGGGATACCTGGAGGTTACCTGGGAGTAGTCCCTGACTACTGGGATACCTGGAGGTTACCTGGGAGTAGTCTTTAACCACTGGGATACCTGGAAGTTACCTGGGAGTAGTCCCTAACTACTGGGATACCTGTAGGTTACCAGGGAGTAGTCTCTAACTACTGGGATACTTGGAGGTTACCAGAGAGTAGTCTCTAACTACTGGGTTACCTGGAGGTTACCTGGGAATAGTCCCTAACTTCTGGGATACCTAGAGATTACCAGGGAGTAGTCCCTAACTACTGGGATACCTGGAGGTTATCAGGGAGTAGTCCCTAACTACTGGGATACCTGGAGGTTACTTGGGAGTAATCCCGAATTACTGGGATACCTGGAGATTACCTGGGAATAATCTCTAACTACTGGGATACCTGGAGGTTACCTGGGAGTAGTCTCTAACTGCTGGGATACCAGGAGGTTACCTGGGAGTAGTCACTAACTACTGGGATACCTGGAGGTTACCTGGGAGTAGTCCCTAACTACTAGGATACCTTAAGGTTACCAGGGAGTATTCCCTAACTACTAGGATACCTGGAGGTTGGCTGTGAGTAGTCCCTAGCTACTGGGATACCTGAAGGTTACCTGGGAGTAGTCCCTAACTACTGGGGTACCTGGAGGTTACCTGGGAGTAGCTCCTAACTACTGGAATACCTGGAGGTTACCTGGGAGTAGTCCCTAGCTACTGTGATATCTAGAGGTTACCTGGGAGTAGTCCCTAATTACTGGGATACCTGTAGATTACCTGGAAGTAGTCATTAACAACTGGGATACCTGGAGGTTACCTGGGAGTAGTCTCTAACTACTGGAATACCTGGAGGTTACCTGGGAGTAGTTCCTAAATACTGGGATACCTGGAGGTTACCTGGGAGTAGCCCCTAACTACTGGGATACCTGGGGGTTACCTGGGAGTAATCCCGAATTACTGGGATACCTGGAGGTTACCTGGGAGTAGTCAATAACTACTGGGATACCTGGAGGTTACCTGGGAGTAGTCCCTAACTACTGGGATACCTGGAGGTTACCTGGGAGTAGTCCCTAACTATTGGAATACCTGTAGATTACCTGGAAGTAGTCATTAACAACTGAGATACCTTGAGGTTACCTGGGAGTAGTCTCTAACTACTGGGATACCTGGAGGTTACCTGGGAGTAGTCCCTAACTACTGGGATACCTGGAGGTTACCTGGGAGTAGTCCCTAACTACTGGGATACCTGGAGGTTACCTGGGAGTAGTCCCTAACTACTGGGATACCTGTAGATTACCTGGAAGTAGTCATTAACAACTGGGATACCTGGAGGTTACCTGTGAGTAGTCTCTAACTACTGGAATACCTTGAGGTTACCTGGAAGAAGTCATTAACCGCTGGGGTACCTGGAGATTGCCTGGGAATAGTCATTAGACACTGGGATACCTTGAGGTTACCTTGGAGTAGTCTCTAACTTCTGGGGTACCTGGAGGTTACCTGAGAGTAGTTACTAGATGCTGGGATACCTGGAGGTTACCTGAGAGTAGTATCTAACCACTGGGATACCTGGGATGCATGGTAGGTAGTTTGTACAGCGCGTGGGGATGGATGGGAGGCTCTACCTATCCAGCGCTCTATGCGGTGTTATATCCAGTGTTCTATACAGTGTTCTACCCAGTGTTCAATTTAGTGTTCTATCACACAATATTGGAATAACTGCACCTCTTCTCACTAAGTTAATACCAACCATGTGTTACAGAATATTAAGTCACAATACCGTGACTGGAACAATACAAATAACCCTGACACAGGAGACTGGAACATATCACGACGTTTTGCTCTCACTTGGATCATTAACTAGTCGCTAGTGTGGCTAGTTAATGGTGCGAAAGGTAGCCATTACTTGCAGTCTCCAGTGTATGTGTGTGTTGTGTACGTAACGATGTGTTGAGTGTGTGTTTTTTGTGTCTTCTCCCCCCGTAGTAAGGACTGGGGGTCGTGCCTGGAGGACGAGCCTCCCCAGGTGGAGTACAGCTTCCCCCAGCTTCCACCTGGTGCCATGTACGACGCTGACCACCAGTGCCGCCTCAGCTTTGGATCTGCTGCCACGCACTGTGCCGGTATTGAGGGCACTGAAAGAGTGTGCCAGACTCTTTGGTGCCATCTAGACAACCGCTGCATCACCAGAATGGAACCAGCTGCCGAGGGCACCCAGTGTGGTAAACACAAGGTGAGTCTCACCACAAGTGTGGGTAACAGTGTGTGTGGGTGGGTAACAGCGTGTGTGTGTCTGAGTAACAGTATGTGTGTGTCTGGGTAACAGTGTGTGTGTGTCTGAGTAACATTGTGTGTGTGTGTCTGAGTAACAGTGTGTGTGTGTCTGGGTAAAAGTGTGTGTGGGTGGGTAACAGTGTGTGTGTCTGGGGTAACAGTGTGTTTGTGTCTGGGTAACAGTGTGTGTGTGTCTGGGTAACAGTGTGTGTGTGTCTGGTAACAGTGTGTGTGTGTCTGGGGAACAGTGTGTGTGTGTCTGGGGAACAGTGTGTGTGTGTCTGGGTAACAGTGTGTGGTGTGTCTGGGTAACAGCGTGTGTGTGTCTGGGTAACAGTGTGTGTGTGTCTGGGTAACAGTGTGTGTGTGTCTGGGTAACAGTGTGTGTGTGTCTGGGTAACAGCGTGTGTGTGTCTGGGTAACAGTGTGTGTGTGTCTGGGTAACAGTGTGTGTGGGTGGGTAACAGTGTGTGTGTCTGGGGTAACAGTGTGTTTATGTCTGGGTAATAGTGTGTGTGTGTGTGTCTGGGTAACAGTGTGTGTGTCTGGGTAACAGTGTGTGTGTGTCTGGGTAACAGTGTGTGTGTCTGGGGTAACAGTGTGTGTGTGTCTGGGTAACAGTGTGTTTTGTGTCTGGGTAACAGTGTGTGTGTGTCTGGGTAACAGTGTGTGTGTGTGTCTGGGTAACAGTGTGTGTGTCTGGGTAACAGTGTGTTTGTGTCTGGGTAACAGTGTGTGTGTGTCTGGGTAACAGTGTGTGTGTGTCTGGGTAACAGTGTGTTTGTGTCTGGGTAACAGTGTGTTTGTGCTGGGTAACAGTGTGTGTGTCTGGGGTAACAGTGTGTGTGTCTGGGGGAACAGTGTGTTTGTGTCTGGGGTAACAGTGTGTTTGTGTCTGGGGTAACAGTGTGTTGGTGTCTGGGTAACAGTGTGTGTGTGTCTGGGTAGCAGTGTGTGTGGGTGGGTAACAGTGTGTGTGTCTGGGGTAACAGTGTGTTTGTGTCTGGGTAACAGTGTGTTTGTGTCTGGGTAACAGTGTGTGTGTGTCTGGGCAACAGTGTGTGTGTATCTGGGTAACAGTGTGTGTGTGTCTGGGTAACAGTGTGTGTGTGTCTGGGTAACAGTGTGTGTTGTCTGGGTAACAGTGTGTGTGTGTCTGGGTAACAGTGTGTATATGTCTGAGTAACAGTGTGTGTGTGTGTCTAGTAACAGGTGTGTGTGTGTCTGAGTAACAGTGTGTGTGGGTGGGTAACAGTGTGTGTGTGTCTGGGTAACAGTGTGTATATGTCTGAGTAACAGTGTGTGTGTGTGTCTGAGTAACAGTGTGTGTGGGTGGGTAACAGTGTGTGTGTGTATGGGGTAACAGTGTGTTTGTATCTGGGTAACATTGTGCGTGTGTCTGGGTAACAGTGTGTGTATCTGGGTAACAGTGTGTGTGTCTGGGTAACAGTGTGTGTGTCTGGGTAACAGTGTGTGTGTCTGGGTAACATTGTGTGTGTGTCTGGGTAACAGTGTGTGTGTCTGGGTAACAGTGTGTCTGGGTAACAGTGTGTGTGTCTGGGTAATAGTGCGTGTGTGTCTGGGTAACAGTGTGTGTGTCTGGGTAACAGTGTGTGTGTCTGGGTAACAGTGTGTTTGCGTGTCTGGGTAACAGTGTGTGTGTCTGGGTAACAGTGTGTGTGTCTGGGTAACAGTGTGTTTGCGTGTCTGGGTAACAGTGTGTGTGTCTGGGTAACAGTGTGTGTATCTGGGTAACAGTGTGTGTGTCTGGGTAACAGTGTGTTTGCGTGTCTGGGTAACAGTGTGTGTGTCTGGGTAACAGTGTGTGTGTCTGGGTAACAGTGTGTTTGCGTGTCTGGGTAACAGTGTGTGTGTCTCGGTAACAGTGTGTGTATCTGGGTAACAGTGTGTGTGTCTGGTAACAGTGTGTTTGCGTGTCTGGGTAACAGTGTGTGTGTCTGGGTAACAGTGTGTGTGTCTGGGTAACAGTGTGTGTGTGTGTGTCTGGGTAACAGTGTGTGTGTCTGGGTAACAGTGTGTGTGTGTGTGTGTCTGGGTAACAGTGTGTGTTTGTGTGTCTGGGTAACAGTGTGTTTATGTGTCTGGGTAACAGTGTGTGTGTCTGGGTAACAGTGTGTTTGTGTGTCTAGGTAACAGTGTGTTTGTGTGTCTGGGTAACAGTGTGTGTGTGTCTGGGTAACAGTGTGTCTGGGTAACAGTGTGTTTGTGTTTCTGGGTAACAGTGTGTGTGTCTGGGTAACAGTGTGTGTGTCTGGGTAACAGTGTGTGTATCTGGGTAACAGTGTGTGTGTCTGGGTAACAGTGTGTGTGTATCTGGGTAACAGTGTGTGTGTGTCTGGGTAACAGTGTGTGTTTGTGTGTCTGGGTAACAGTGTGTTTATGTGTCTGGGTAACAGTGTGTGTGTCTGGGTAACAGTGTGTTTGTGTGTCTAGGTAACAGTGTGTTTGTGTGTCTGGGTAACAGTGTGTGTGTGTCTGGGTAACAGTGTGTCTGGGTAACAGTGTGTTTGTGTTTCTGGGTAACAGTGTGTGTGTCTGGGTAACAGTGTGTGTGTCTGGGTAACAGTGGTGTGTCTGGGTAACAGTGTGTGTATCTGGGTACCAGTGTGTGTGTCTGGGTAACAGTGTGTGTGTATCTGGGTAACAGTGTGTGTGTCTGGGTAACAGTGTGTGTGTGTGTGGGTAACAGTGTGTGTGTGTCTGGGTAATAGTGTGTGTGTGTCTGGGTAACAGTGTGTTTGTGTGTCTGGGTAACAGTGTGTGTGTCAAACTTCCTAACTTCCGTTTGACTCATCTGACTCTCCAGTTTCCAATTGTGACCCCTTGTTTCTTTGTCCCATCTCTGGAACATCCTGTCTCTGTCCATCTTGTCAATTCCTCGCAGTATTTTGTACGTCATTATCATGTCTCCCCTAACCCTCCTGTCCTCCAGTGTCATCAGGCCGATTTCCCTCAACCTTTCTTCGTGGGATATTCCTCTGATCTCTGGAACTAGCCTTGTTGCAAACCTTTGCACTTTCTCTAATTTCTTGACGTGTTTGACCAGGTGTGGGTTCCAAACTGGTGCTTCATACTCCAGTATGGGTCTGACGTACATGGTGTACAGAGTCTTGAACGATTTCTTACTGAGGTACCGGAACGCTATTCTCAGGTTTACCAGGCACCCATATGCTGCGGCAGTTATCTGGTTGATGTGTGCCTCCGGAGAAGTGCTCTGTATTATACTCACCCTAAGATCCTTCTCCTTGAGTGAGGTTTTCAGTCTTTGGCCATCTAGCCTATACTCTGTCTGCGGCCCTCTTTGCCCTTTCCGATCTTCATGACTTTGCATTTGGCGGGGTTAAAATCGAGGAGCCAGTTGCTGGACCAGGTGTCCAGCCTGTCCAGGTCTCTTTGTAATCTTGCCTGGTCCTCGTCTGACAGAATTCTCCTCATTAACTTCACATGATCTGTAAATAGGGACACTTCTCAGTCCGTCCCTTCTGTCATGTCACTCACATATACCAAAAATAGCACTGGTCCTTGGACTGACCCCTGTGGAACCCCGCTCGTCACAGGCACCCACTGTGATACCTCGCCACATACCATGACTCGTTCTTGCCTCCCTGTCAGGTATTCTCTGACCCATTGCAATGCCCTTCCTGTTATACGTGCCTGATCCTCTGTCTTTTGCACTGATCTCTTGTGAGGAACTGTGTTGAAGACCTTCTTGCAGTCCAAGAAAATGCAATCTACCCACCCCCCTCCAGTAGGTTTGTGACACAGGATTTGCCTTCCATGAATCAATGCTGGTTGTCGTTTATAAGCTTGTTCCGTTCTAGGTGCTCCACCACTCTCCTCCTGATAATCTTCTCCATGACTTTGCATACTATACACGTCAGTGACACTGGTCTATAGTTTAGTGCCTCGTTTCTGTTTCCTTTCTTAGAAATGGGGACTACATTTGTCGTCTTCCATACCTCAGGTAGTTGCCCAGTTTCCATGGATGTGTTGAAGACTGTGGTTAGTGACACATATAGCATCTCTGCTCCCTCTCTAAGAACCCACGAAGAAATGTCCTCTCCCACCACCTTTGATGTATCAAGTTTACTTAGGAGCTTCTTCACCTCCTCCTCGATTGTGTATTTCATCCAAGACCTTACTGTCTCCACTGTAAATAATTCTTTAAATCTCATGTTGAACTCCTCACATGCTTCTTGATCGTTTCTTGTGAGCTCCCCACCTTCTTTCCTCAGCCTGATTACCCGGTCCTTGATTGCTGCCTTCCTTCTGATGTGGCTATACAACAGCTTCGGGTCAGACTTGACTTTCGATGCTTATCTGTGCATACTCGTTTTTGGCTTTTATACTGATCTCATTATTTTCCTGGGTCCTTGGTCTTCTGTACATTTTTCATTCTCTAGGGCACTTAGTTTCCCACCCCCCTACATCTTTGGGTAAACCAAAGGCTCGTGCTAGTCTTCCCATTATTTCTGTTGCCCTTGAGAATAAACCTTTCCTCTGCCTCCTTGTATTTTGATGTTATGTAGTCCATCATTTCGTTTACTGACTCTCCTACCAGTTCTCTTTCCCACTGTACCTCCTGCAGGAAGTTCCTCATACCGTGTAGTCCCCCTTTTGTAGTTTGGCCTTTCTCATCCTACTGCTGTTACCCACTCCACTTGTAACTCTACTATGTATTCAAAGCTCAGAACCACGTGATCACTAGTATTGAGAAGGTTCGTGGAGATTTGATGGTTGGAGTTAAACACAAGTCGTTGGGTGTTAATGCTTATATTGCAGACTGTGATAAGGGAGAGCCCAAACTGCCTGTCCTGTCGCCTGCTAGGACTATGGGGAACTGAGGCCGATGCAGCGCTTCCACGCACTCATTCGGCATCACGTGGCGTCACACAAACTAGTCACTGGGCCTAGCAAGGGGTCGTGTATGTAAAAAATATGGATGGCACCAACTATGACACCCAGACAACATATACATATACAGGGGATCAGAAACTATGCTGACACTAGCTCCAAGGGGCCTTTCATATGTGATGGCCTTCGATATCCGAGCTACTCAGGGTGAACACGACGTCCAGTCTTGCTGGTTCATCCTCCTCTCTCTCTCTGGTAGTGTCCCTAACATGTTGATGCATGAGGTTTTCCAGTGCCTCATGTGTGTGTGTGTGAGTAACAGTGTGTGTGTACTTGTGTGTGAGTAACAGTGTGTGCATACTTTTGTGTGAGTAACTGTGTGTGGATAACAGTGTGTGTGTGTTGTGTGTGTGTGTGTGTGTAACAGTGTGTATGTGTGTGTGTGTGTGTGTGGGTAGCAGTGTGTAAGTAACAGTGTGTATGTGTGTGTGTGGGAAGCAGTGTGTAAGTAACAGTGTGTGTGTGGATAACAGTGTGTGTGTGGGTAGCAGTGTGTGTGTGTAACAGTGTGTGTGTGGGCAACAGTGTGTGTGTCGTTACAGTGTACTCACCTAATTGTGGTTGCAGGGATCGAGACTCAGCTCCTGGCCCCCGCCTCTTCACTGAGTGCTACTAGGTCCTCTCTCTCCCTGAGTGGGTAACAGTGTGTGTGTGTGTGTGTGTGTGTGTGTGTGTGTGTGTGTGTGTGTGTGTGTGGTTACAGTGGTGTCCTCACCACTGGTGTGTACCACTGCCCACCATTGGTGTGTCGTTACAGTGGTGCGCGTCAGGTCAATGTGTGACCATTGGTGAACGACCCGCCGCTATCCATGGTAACTGGGGTAGCTGGTCGTCGTGGTCGTCATGTAGCAGGTCGTGTGGTGCCGGTGTCTCCAACGCTCACAGGCACTGTGACAACCCCGCGCCTGCCAACGGTGGCAAGTACTGCACTGGAGACCGCAGGAAGTACCGGGTCTGTAACACACAGGTGAGTCACTGCTCATCACTGTTACTAGGTACACCTGTAACACTCAGGTGAGTCACTGCTCATCACTGTTACTAGGTACACCTGTAACACCCAGGTGAGTCACTGTAATTAACGTCACTAAGTACACCTGTAACACCCAGGTGAGTCACTGTAATTAGCGTCACTAGGTACACCTGTAACACCCAGGTGAGTCACTGTTATTAACGTCACTAAGTACACCTGTAACACCCAGGTGAGTCACTGTAAAATAGCGTCACTAGTACACCTGTAACACCCAGGTGAGTCACTGTTATTAACGTCACTAAGTACACCTGTAACACCCAGGTGAGTCACTGTAATTAGTGTCACTAGGTACACTTGTAGCATCCAGGTGAGTCACTGAAATTAGCGTCACTAGGTACACCTGTAACACCTGTAACATGCAGTTTTTTAGTTACATCTATCAAGTACAGTGTCACCTGTAACACTTGTAACACCTGTAACACTGTAGTACTTCCACACCACCAGAGTACTGACAGGGAGAGTACTGACAAGGGTGAATGCTAACAGGGAGAGTGCTGATGGGGTGGGTGCTGACAGGGAGAGTACTGACAGGGAGAGTGCTGACGAGGGTGAGTGCTGACAGGGTAAGTGCTAATAGGGAGAGTGCTGACAGGGAGAGTACTGACAGGGTGAGTGCTATCTGGGAGAGTGCTGACAGGGTGAGTGCTGACAGAGTGCTGACAGGGTGAGTGCTGACAGGGTGAGTGCTGACAGAGTGCTGACAGGGTGAGTGCTGACAGAGTGCTGACAGGGTGAGTGCTGACAGAGTGCTGACATGGTGAGTGTTGACAGAGTGCTGACAGAGTGCTGACAGAGTGCTTACATGGTGAGTGCTGACAGAGTGCTGACAGGGTGTGTGCTGACAGAGTGCCGACAGAGTGCTGACAGGGTGTGTGCTGACAGAGTGCTGACAGAGTACTGACAGGGTGAGTGCTGACAGAGTGCTGACAGGGAACAATAGAGTGACTTACCCATTTTTTTCATCATATTTAAAGTACCGTTGTTGCATTACTAACAACAGTCCTGTTGTTGTCTTCCGTTAACAGGAGTGCCCGGAGAACGGGGTGAGTTTCCGGGCAATACAGTGCTCGCAGCACAACCAGCAGCCTTATAAGGGCGAACACCACAACTGGTTACCAGTCATGTTCGACCGTAAGTATTATCAGTGTATGTGAGGGCGCTTCTGCCAGGCTGAATAAACTCTACCAGGCAGAGTAGACGTAGTTTACTGGGAGGGAGGGATACTCTAGGTATACACGGTAAGGGTG